ATACAGCGGATCAGATGGGTCAGAATCAAGCCCATTTCCTGGTAACACGGTGAATACCCGTTCTAAAAAATACAAAAAAACTAGCCGGCGCGAGGTGGGGCGGCGCCCTGTAGTCCCAGCTACTCGGGAGGCTGAGGAGCGGAGAAATCGGCGTAAACCGGGAGGCGGAGCTTGCAGTGAGCCGAGATCGCGCCACTGCACTCCAGCCTGGTGACAGAGCCAGACTCCGTCTCAAAAAAAAAAAAAAAAAAAAAAATTAGCCAGGCATGGTGGTCCATGCCTATAATCCCAGCTACTCGGGAGCTGAGGCAGGAGAATTGCTTGAACTCAGGAGTAGAAGGTACAGTAAGCCAGATGCCACCACTGCACTCCAGCCTGGGCACATGAAGGAAGACCCTGTCTCCAGAAAAAAAAAAAAAAACAAATTTTTTTTTTTTTTTTTTTGCTAAAATCAAAGGAGTCCCAAGTAGGCCTAGATTACAAACAGGGTGAACCGTAGTGTATCAGAAAGTTAATTTATCCGCCAAAGAAATAAAATGGGGGGGGTGTGGAAAGTTCAACATTTAAACCAGGAATGTAAACGTCCCGTTAAATAAAAAGGATGCCCCTAAATTCCTTCTATCTGCCAGAGCAGATGAACCAACAAGGAATCATTACCCAGCACACACGCCTTGCTGTTCCTTCCCTCCAATTCCCTAGTCATCCTTCTTAAGCAGGCTAGCAGCCTTTACATTGATTGGCTGGGAGTGCTGGGCCTGTGTACATCAGGTGAATGTTGGTGGTGGCATCACTTCAACGAAAAACCTGGCAGCAGCCGGCATTCCGAGACCCTGAATCAAACAAGAATCCAAGCATAAGGTTCAGAGCCCGACTCATTCCCCCGATGTCATCTGCTTCTCACAGCAGCGGCTGTAATGCTGTTTCACGAGGGTTTTTCCCTATATGCAGGCCCTCTCATGCCAATGTTCCACGTGGGACTAGCTCTTTGCAGCTCGCAAATTAACCCCACCTGAGAATCACATCAAGCAAATCCCCAACATGGTACTCAGCATTAATGTTTCAGAGGCCCTTGACCCTCCCCCATCAATTATCCCTGTCTCCATAACACATGAGCTTTGGCTCCTCTCTTTCACGAGCTACACAAATGACTATTCATTTGGAGGCATTTTCACATTTACTTTCAGGAAGTATTTTTTCTTTAATCTTAGAAGCCTTAGTTTTCTGATTCAAAATTCTTTTTAAATCATGCTATTCTACAACACAGGCTTGTAGACTAACAGCACCAAAAAGTCTGCTACTTCTGTTATTTCCCGAAGAAAACAGGAGCCCAAGATACAACAGCACCAAGAATAGGCTGTAAAACAACCCAATATCAAGCTACACGTTTAAGGCTGCTTTTCATTCCTTCACAAAGAAACTCTGATGCATGGAATAGAAAATCAAGTGTGGTCAGGCGCAATGGCTCACACCTGTAATCCCAACACTTGTGGGAGGCTAAGGCAGACAGATCACAAGGTCAGGAGATCGAGACCATCCTGGCCAGAACGGTGAAACCCCGTCTCTACTAAAAATACAAAAATTAGCCAGGCATGGTGGCACGTGCCTGTAATCCCAGCTACTTGGGTGGCTGAGGCAGGAGAATCGCTTGAACCAGGGAATCGGAGGTTGCAGTGAGCTGAGATCGCACCACTGCAGTCCAGCCTGGAGACAGGGTAAGACTCCGTCTCAAAAAAAAAAAAAAGAGAAAGAAAATCAAGTGGAATGGCCATCTCAAAGGTCTTGAGATGGGTACAAACAAAATGTACCCATTTAAGAAATGGATACTTATTTCATGTACTAACTAGGGAGAAATAAAGTTGAGTTTATCTATTTTGACTAAAGTTTTAGTAGTCATAATTCATAAAATAATGGATTGGATAGCCAGGTCTCATCTCCAGTATTGCTAGTATATTTCAGAAGTTTTACCTGGAAGAGCCCTTCATTCACAGCCACCAAACCAGGCCCCCTAAACCCCTCTAACATTCTGGGCGCAGCCAGCCAAGTAGCCCCACCTACTCTTTTGGAAATTATGACTCTACTCCCCCTGGTCCTTTCTTTGAAGGATTTCACCAACATGACACCATCCCCACTGTACCCCATTCTTGAAACTCAAATTGGGGATGTGAATAGCACTACTGCTAACAAAATTCCAGGGACACTTGTGTTATAGTAATAATTATAAACATGAACTCACAGAATTTAGCGGTACTGGACTGCTGAAAATCAACAGCAGCTTAATGTGAATTAAGGAAGGATGATCAACCAGACCCTGATATGTCACAGCCTTAGAATTTTAAGTGTGGTTTTCATTACAACTCCTTTTAACACTGCTGGGAGGCAGAACATTTATATTTTATGGACAAAGCAACAGGGTTCCAGCTCTGATTCTGCTTGTGGTACTCACTAGAAAGGCTTCTCAATGATCCTTCATTATATGCTTAAATGCTACACAAATGCAATACATTATTAGGAAAGGTTAACTATTGAGCTAATTAAGTGTGCTCCTCGAAGGCATGGTTGATTCAGTTTTACTTCTCCACCCTCCTGCCCCACCCTGCCCATACTGACATGGAATCGGGCAAAATGCCTGGCATCCCTCTGTTTGTTCTATCTCTATCCATCTGTCTATCCATCCATCCCACCTAAATGCTTTCAATTAAAATTGAAATACAGTCAATGCGTAGCTTAACAACAGGGACACGTTCTGAGAAATGTGTTGCTAGGTGATTTCATCGTTGTGCAAACATCATAGAGTGTATTTACATAAACCTAAATGGTATAACTTACTATACACCCAGGCTATATGATATAGTCTATTGCTCTAGGCTACAATCCTGTACAGCATGTTACTGTACTGGAGGCAGTTGTAACACAGTGCTAAGTATTTGTGTATCTAAACATATCTAATAGAAAACATGTAGTAAAAATATGGTACAAAAAAACACAAAACAAAACACCTGCATAGGGCACTTACCAGGAATGAAGCTTGCAGGATTAAGGCTGCTCTAGGTGAGTCAGTGAGTGGTGAAATGTGAAGGCCTAGGACATTACTGTGTGCTCCTGTAGACTTTATAAACACCGTACACTTAGGCTACACTAAATTCATGACAAAATGTTTCTTTCTTCAATAAATTAAATTTAGCTTACTATAAGTTTTTTACTTCATAAACTTAATTTTTAACTTTTTGACTCTTGTAGTAACACTTAGCTTAAAATCCAAACACCCTGTACAGCTATTAAAAATATTTTCTTTTTTATTCTGCAAGAGTTTTTCTATTTCTAAAAGTTTTAATTTTACTTTTTAAATTTTTTTGGCTAAAAACTAAGATACAAACACACACATTAGCCTAAGCCTACACAGGTCAGGAGCATCAGTATCACTGTGGTCCACCTCCACCTCTTGTACCACTGGAAGGTCTTCAGGGGCAGTAACACGCATGCAGCTGTCATCTTCTAGAATAACAATAGCTTATTCTGGAACCTCCTGAAGGACCTGCCTGAGGCTGCTTTACAGTAAATTTTTTTTCTATGTAAGTATGAGTACACTTTAAAATAATGATAAAAATTGTAGTAAATACCAGGCCACAGGAATTTTTTAGGTCCATTATCATCTTATGGGACCATTGCCGTATATGCAGTTTGTCATGGACTGAAATGTCGTTATGGGGCACATGACTGTGTAATATTAAACTGGTCTGTACAGGGCAATTTATAATTAAAATAGTATCTGCCTAGGGGAGAACATCCCTTAGGTATAGTTTTAGAGGTTGAAACCAACTAACCATCGAAATGGAAGAAGTGATTGTGTTGGTTTAAGCGAGGTCTCCCTTCGGCTGCTGCTACAGGAACCAAATTCTCATCCAAATTCTCTCCTTGATGGTCTTCCCTGACACGATTATTGTCGGCAATATTAAGAGACATTCTGCATGTTGGACAGGAGGTGTCTTGTTCTAGCCAGGAACGAAGACAGGAGCTACCAAAAAGTCCAAAAGAACATACGTCAGCATCCTCGATTGTTCCTTAGCATACTTTGTGAGAATTCACCCAGAAGTACTCTGGATCTATCAAATGTGCTCCAATTTGATTTTCTCTCCACCACTAGTGAGATTTAAGTGTTGAGAAGCATTTATGGACATTACCTCTTTGCCCTACTTCACTTTAATACACTTCCAGCGTGTCCTGCTGGAAACGTGAATTCTTTACCATATGAAGTCATCTACCAAGCTCCTGGTTGTGACCCCTTTTCAATGGGACTTCCTAGCATGGCTCACCATCTTCTCATCCAATTCTATTTGGCTACTTCAAAATCCATGTGGCTGAATCATCCAACACCCTGGCCTCTCATATCCTTGAGTCCTCCACTCTGACGCTCACATCTTTCACTCTGCTTTAGCTACCACTAGCACAGTCATAGCCTTGGCCTTGTCTTCAAAATCTTGATGTCAAAAATCTCACTCATTCACTCAAGCTCCTCTCCTTCCAACTCACTTATCTGGCACCAAACTTGCTAAGACCTCCCATCTGCTTTTTCCTTAAGCATGACAGCCCTACAGGTCCTTACCTCCCCGTTCCCCTGGCTCACCTGTAACTTCTCCTCTCCATTCACCACCTCAACCTCCTCCACCCTCTTCTCTTTGCATGCTGCTTTCCCAACAAGGCTGAAGCTTCTTTTGCCCTCTCTCAGGAGATGATAATGCCTTAATTATGGTAGACACTCAGTAAATACTTGAGGTGTCCATTAAAGGAAAGGATACTAGAGTAAGAAGCAGAAAATGTGAGATCAGTCCCAATTCTCCCTCTAACTAGCTGTGTGATCCAGGCAAACCCTTCAGCCTCTCTTGACTAGTCCTCTCCACTAAAGAATGAGATGGCTGGATGAATTAATCTCCAAGGTCCCTCCCATTTTATGAGAATTTGTTATCTTTCTCTAAGGGCGCAAGTAGGCACTCAATAAAAATGCTGTATCTTCTTTTAAATATCTATGAACATGTGTAGATATAAAGTTATAAAGGAAAACCTCACCATAATACGATAATCCTCAGAGTCTCCAGCAACCAAATGGTACATAAGTAACAGGAGTTTCCTAGAGGCCAAGATAGAGCTACTTCTTACTCACTCCGTGTCATGAGAGTGTGTGACAGTCGTGTTCCAAAATAATGTCATCTGTCTGTATGTATATACCCAACTCTATCATATTTTGCAATAATTAAATACCTATAATTTGTCTGTGATAATTTAGTCAAATAAGCGTTTTTTTTTTAAGTCCACTTCTCCTAGTGACACCCTGAAATCACACCACTAGTAGAATAACATTAGCCTTGCGGGGGATTACAAAAGTATGCAAGATCCTTGCCTTCCAATAACGCTACACTGTGACATACTTTTTATAAGCAAATCTAAATTTATTTCACAGAGTGCAAAATCCTCCCACATTAAATATAACAGCCTAAAAACTCCAAGGTGAGTACAACTAGTTAGATATAGTTTTCTGTTTTAAAAAAAATGCTAGAGTTCCTTAACTGAGAGAAATCAAACTTTAGAGAGAAAACGGATCTATTCACTGGACTCTGAAATGTTGTAAAAATATCCTCTATAGCAACAAATTATCTAGCTATTGTGTCTGCAAGAATATAGGCATTACTTTTATCACAAATTAAAATGAATTTGCCTTAGATTCTCAGCACACAATCATTCCCAAAGCTACAAAGTAAAGCCAACCAAGAGCACATCCTACCAACTATTTGTTCACTCAACCCGAGGCAGATAAGTGTTTTAAAATTAAATCCTACCTCTTAAGCAACCACTGAGTAAAGAAGAAATCACTTTGGGAAATGAGACACTTTGAGACAAATGAAAACAAAACCACAACGTATCCAAACTTATGAGATGCAGTGGAAGCAATGCTCAGAGGCCAATTTGTAGCAGAAAATGCCTAAAAAGAAGAAAGCTCCCAAGTCAAAAACCTAACTTTATGCCTATAGAACCAGAAAAATAGCAAACTAAACCCAAAGCCAACAGAGGTATCTAGAGTAATTCATAGAGACAAAATATAGAATGGTGGTTGCCAAGGGCTTCGGGAGAAACAGAGAGGGACTTTCTGTATACTGGAGACAATTTCAGTTTCATAAGATGAAAAAGTTCTGGAGATAGATGGTGATGAAGGCTATACAACAATATGACTATACTCCATGCCACCAGACCATATACTTAAAAATAGCTAACAGTAAATTTTTTGTTATATTTTACCAGAATAAAAAAACTATATTTAAGAATTATTACTAAAAAACAAAACAAAATTCACCATAATGAGATAACACTTCACACCCACAAGAATGGCTATAATAACAAAAATAGAAAATGACAAGTGTTGGCAAGATGTATGAAGAAACTAGACCCCTCAGGTATTGTTGGTGGGAATATCAAGTGGTACAGCTGCTGTAGAAAACAGTTTGGCATTTCCTCAAAAGTTAAACAGAATTATCACGTGATCCAGAAATTCCACTCCTAGGCATATACCCAAAAGAAGTGGGAACAAGTCCTCAAACAGATACTTCTCACAAGCACATGTTCCTACCAGCATTATTCACAATAGTCAAAATGTGGAAACAACCCAAATGTCCACCAATGGATGAATGGATAAACTAATTGTTTAATTTATAAAATTACTTAAATTCACCCATAAAAAGTAATGAAGTACTGATACATGCTACAACTTGGATGACCTCAAAAAATATTAAGCGAAAGACGTCAGTCACAAAAAGTCACGTTATATGATTCCTTTATATGAAATGTCCAGAATAGGTAAATCCATAGAGACAGAAAGTGGATTAGTGGTTGCCAGGCGATGGAGAAGGAAGGAATGAAGAATGCTTACTTAGTGACTATGAGGCGCTATTGTGGAGTGATAAAAAGGTTTTGAAACTAGCGAGAAGGGTGGTTGCATAACATTGTGAACACATTAGCAGCCACTGAACTGTACATTTTAAAATGGTTAAATGTATATTATCTGAATTTTGCCTCAAAGAAATTAAATCATAGAATTAATCTAACATATGCTTGAAGATATTATTTCTGAGCTAAAAGAGTTATTCTGAGTTTATTCTTCCCAACTAGCCTCCAAGCTCCTTAGGGGCTAACTGAAATAATTTTGAGAAATGTGTGCAAATTCCCTGGTCTTCCCAACCTCAACGAACGTGCACCGCTCTACACCCAACTGTCCAACCCGCACAACTAGGGAAACCCTGGCACCTCTTTCATTCCTCACTTTCCCTCGGCCGATCTAGCACCACATCCTTCCTGATCCCCTCAAATCTGTCTTCTCACTAACTCTACTTCTACCACCAGAGTCCAAGTTACAATTTCTTTTTTTTTTCTTGAGACAGAGTTTCGTTCTTGTTGCCCAGGCTGGAGTACAATGGCGTGACCTCAGCTTACTGCAACCTCCACCTCCCAGGTTGAAGCAATTCTCCTGCCTCAGCCTCCCAAGTAGCTGGGATTACAGGCACCCGCCACCACGCCCAGCTAATTTTTTTGTATTTTTAGTAGAGGTGGGGTTTCACCATGTTGGTCAGGCTGGTTTCAAACTCCTGACCTTGGGTGATCCACCTGCCTCAGTGTCCCAAAGTGCTAGGATTACCCCTGAACCACTGCAGCCATTACTAACCAATCCCCCTGGATCTCTTCAAACAGCAAATCTTACCCGCCAATCCTTACTTAATGTTCAACAGCATCTCACCACTCCCAATGGTCCTCCAGACCCTGCCTATGTGTCTTCTGCCTCAGCGGACACCCTTATCCTTTACTCTCTGGGATCAGCCACACAGCTTCTCTTTTAGTCTCTTCCATTTCTTCCTGCTGCACAGATGCACCCTCTCTCTCAAGTACCTAGTACCACCTGATCCCTCCTTTTGTTGACTTAACTCCTACTTATCCTCAAGAGTCACTTCCTTCAAGTTTGAGTCGGATTTTTTCATTACAAGTTCTCAAGAACTATGTTCCTTTGCTTTAAAGCACTTATCTCATTGATACTTTAAAATTCATAAATATGCCTGGTTCTGATTCACGTTTGAATCCTCCGTTCGACTGTAAGCTACAGGAAAGCAATGACCACACTAGTCATTTTCATTTTATCCCCAGAGCCTAACACAGCACTCAGCACATTAAAAAAAAAAAAAAAAAAATCTGTCAACAATGTGTTGAGTTACTGAGACTCTAGCTCCAAAGCCCTATATAAAAAAGAAGAAGAAAAACCCTTTGAGACTATAAAATAAAGAAAGGAAGATTAAAGATGCAAAGATCAGAACTTTCCCAATATGCAAAATTGAAAACACATGCAAAAGGCCAAAAGATACCTCAAGGTCCATTAACATCAAAACATCAAACTTATACACACAGTCATTTATGTGAGACAGACAGAGCCCCAGTGACATCTTAGATCTACTTCCATCTGGAAGGATTACAGAAGAGACTATTTGTAATCCTTGATAACAGACACAGCTCTTTTGTGCTGTTTAGTGGTCCTGGTCTACAACCCATCTCAATCCACTTCTCTGGTGAGATTTTAGGCTTCTTTTGGGCATATACAAAATGCAAAATTATATATTCTCTCTCTCCCAGTTAGATAATAAGCTGTCTGAAAATAAGGACTCCCCGCTAATCCTTTCTTTTAAATCTTACAGACATATTTGCTGTACTTCAGAGCTAAAATGGAGAAGAAATATGAAGACAGTTACCATACCCAGAAATTAAGATGGCAAACTATGGGAGGGAAACAGTCCTATGATGTAGGGAAGAGGCTAAGGAACAAAGAAGGACACCCAAGAGCTTCCCAGAACACGCAGTGCCAGCAGCAAGGCCAGGCGGAGGTAATGTCCCCACTCCTCCACTAGGATGAGTCTCAAGCCTGGGTACAAAAAGCACCCACACACCCTGGACAGAACACCCGTCCCACGGGGCCCTTCACAAAGCTCCTACTTGTGGAAAAGATGTCCGCAGGGCAGTTTCCGCGCAGCCTGCATGGAGTCCCAACAGATGGCACAGTCGTCATTGTTGACAGCCAGCTCCTCTGGAGTTGCAACTGCAAACCTGTGGAAACAAAACAAGCCCAGCAGGAACCTTGGTCAGTTCCACACACACACTAAACACCACTTGATAGACTGCGCCTATATCACAGCACAGTTACAGAGAAAGCGTGTTCAGCAAAACATTCTTGATAATCAAAAATATAATTTACCTTCAAAGCCCATTAAAAAGTGAGTGAGAAACTTATGCACAGGAACTTTGTCTAAATAATGGCTGCTAGGCCGAGTGCGGTGGCTCACACCTGTAATCCTAGCACTTTGGGAGGCTGAGGCAGGAGGATCATGAGGTCAGGAGTTCAAGACCAGCCTAACCAACATGGTGAAACCCCGTCTCTACTAAAAACGCAAAAATTAGCCGGGTGTGGTGGCGGGCGTCTGTAATCCCAGCTACTCAGGAGGCTGAGGCAGGATAATCGCTTCAACCCAGGAGGCGGAGGTTGCAGTGAGCCGAGATTTCGCCACTGCATTCCAGCCTGGTGACAGTGCGAGACGACATCTCCAAAATAGTAATAATAACAATGACTGCTGTTAGTGAAGACCTCAGAGAACATATCCAGACAAATCAGAGAAGTAAGGCCCCCAGAGATCCAATCTGTGTCCCTGGCCACAAAGAAGTGATCCAGGCTGTCCCCCTGGGCACAAAGAGGATACCCATTAATCTTGCACCTCCAGGCATGGTTTAGCCTCAGCTTGGCAAAAGAGTGCCTCCTTCAATGAGGTTAAGTATGTGTGTGTAAACATGCATATGCAGAGAATAATTGAGACCCACTTTCACGAAATGAGCAGGACAGAAGCCCAATGAAGCGTCTATTTGATAATAATGACAATAAAATCATGACGAGTAAGAGCCTAATACTGAGCACTACGTGCCCAGTACTATTCTAAATACACGAATTATCTCACCAAATTCTCCCAAAGGTTCAGGCAGAAGGTTCTGTTTTCATCCCTAATTTAGAGATGAAGTAAACTGCCCCAAATCACCCAGCACCTAAGCGGGGATTCACACCCAGGCAGTCTGACTCCAGAGCCTCTCCTCTCCATCACTGTTAGCAGTTTACAAACATACATTCTGACATACTCTGGAATCTGTTGTTATTAAAAAGCTAAAATGAGTAAACTTGGGCAACATCAACTTATGTTTCCTCACCTGGCCTCCATGTTCCCAACCACACGCAGATAGTTCTTGTGCCGACTAATTCGACGCTGCACCTCATGAAACAGGTAACGAAGCTGCATAAAGATGACCAAGCTAGCCATGGATAACCAGATGTTGCCAAATAACTTAGAAAGAAAGAGAGTAAAATACACGGTAAAAGTGAACATGAACTTGCTAGTGATGAAGGCGCAGTATGCAGCAGAAGCTCTTCACTGTTGGTGATGGTGAACTGCAATATTTTTCAGAAAGGAAATACACAGATGTATCTCATTACTCTAAACAAGGCACATCCTCGTCTGCCTAGGTGCTCCACTGCCAGTCATCTTTCCTGAGAAACTCATCAGAAATGGAAAAGCTTTATGCAAAAAGATGTCTATCCATGAAATTATAAAAGAGAAAATATGAAAATGAACACAATGTCCAGCAGAACAGTTAGGTTGTAAACTTATATAATGTAAAATGATGTACTCATTAATTACATTTATTTATATTATACAACTACATATTACACTATTATATTTTATATATAACAGTTCTGAAGGTCAATTATGGGAAGACAGTATTAGATAAATAAAAAAAGCAAGATATAACTAATTTTATCAAACTAATACATGATAAAAAATATGTAAAAATGTGAAATAGCAAACAACCGAATATAATCTAAATAACCCACTGTGAGATGTGGTTTATTAAATCATGGTACAGCTATCTGAAGACATTTTTATCCTGAAAGTATTAAAATGGCTTAGAAGAACTGATGCTAGCATAGGAAAATGTTCATAATACATCAGTTTTTTTAAAAACTATATGTCTATATGTCTAAAATATCTCAATTTATGAAGGTATGTACTCAAATACATAAAAAGAAAACTGTTAAAAGAAGCAGTTAAACACAACAAAATCTTCAGGAAACAAGCATGAGGAAAAAAATTAAAATTTAAAAAAAGAAGACAAAAAAATCTTAAGAGTTATCTTTGGCCATTTGTCCCCTTTTTGAGGGGGGAGGGAGGCTTTTTTTTTTTTTGAGATGGAGTCTCACCCTGTCGCCCAGGCTAGAGTGCAGTGGTGCGATCTCGGCTCACTGCAACCTTCATCTCCCAGGTTTAAGCAATTCTCTGCCTCAGCCTCCCCAGTAGCTGGGATTATAGACGTGAGCCACCACGTCCGGCCGAGCCTCTTTTTTTAAAAAAAAGAATTACATGCTTTCTTTAAAAAGTATGTTTTCAAAGTTTCTTTCAAAAAGCAGACTTAGAAATGTGCCATGTCTAGCCCAATAATTTTTAAATGATACTTACTGGGCCTATAATTTAAATAAACTGCCCACCAACTATTTTAATTCTCACCATTACTAGATCACTGAAAGGCCAACCAATGAAGCAGATCTATGACACTGTAACTTCTAACATATCAAAGTAAAATGTAAACAATGATGGTAGTAGGAATGTAGGAATTAAGTATAAAGACTTTTTTTAATTACAAAGATGGAAAATGTATGAATCCATGAAGTAGCTAACACTGCAGGAATTCCCATTACCACCTACAAAGTAACTGCTAAATATTTAAAGCCATAGAAACTGGGGAAAGGCAGCTCCTTACTTTCATGCTAAAAGAATAATCTATTGACTTGGTCAGCAGAGTTAACTAAGTCTCCCAGGACAACAAACACCTCCTGAGTTAGGCACCAGTCAAAGCAATTCCACGGCATTGCCTTACACCCAGTGGGAAAAAGAGGGAGGGTTTGCAGCCACATTCATTTTTAGTCTTTTAAGTAGTCCATCCGCATCTTATTCCTAAAGTTTCATTTTTTGATAAAGAAACCATTACTGTTCCTGATTCTGAAAGGCTTGCCCTCTGTTAGAGCTTCTTCTGAGGAAACTTACCAACATGTGAATATGGTGCATGAGGTCCAGGGACAGGAGAGTGAGCTCCATGACGAAGTCTGTGTAATAGACGTACGTCCCCTTTCCTTCCCACGTCCCTTCGTGATTGAGGTCCCAGAGGTGAATTACGTATCTGTAATGAAGAGAGAAAACACCTTAGTAATTTACTGTTACAACTGAATTTGGTTTAATCATACTGTAATTTAGTCAGATTTTTATATATTTCATACCTGCTACATCTTAAAATCAACTGTATGAGTAGGCCTCAATCACCTCCCTCTCCAGTTTCACTCACCGTAAAATCACATGCGCAGTCCTCACTGTCACAAGAAGAGACTATAAAAAAGGATATTTTCTTTTTAGTAAAATTTAGCGTTGCTCAGACCAAACTTATTTTTATAAAATGATAAAAGACAAACATTTCTCAGTTCAATTAAAAAGCAGATTGTTCAAGTTTACCCATTATTTTATTTTCTCTGCTTCAAAGTTCCATAAAATATTTTTATGACATAGAAACTCAACTTTTATTGAGGGAAAGTCCTGTTAATAAGTGACAACCAATTATACCTATCCCCTGGGAATCCCCCTACAATCTTGAGGTTTATCCTGGTAGTTTGACCATCAATTCTATTTCACACAGCATTAAGTCACTATCACTGATTACTCAGAAGGGTGATGCTGTAACTCCAAGTATAGTTCAGGTACTGCTATCGTAGACATGAGGACCTGCTCTCTCCCTAGTGCTTCGTGCACTCCCTTTGTCCACCAGCAGAAAAAAGAATGAAAGCAAGCAAAAGCAAAATAAGGCCAGCCACATCACACCTTTAATCCCAGCACTTTGGGAGACCAAGGCAGGAGGATTGCTCAAGCTCAGGAGTTCAAAACCAGCCTGGGCAACATGGTGAAATCCCATCTCTACAAAAAAATACAAAAATTAGATGGGCATGGGGGCACGTGCCGGTAGTCCCAGTTACTTGGGAGGGTGAGGTGGGAGGATGGATTGAGCTTGGGAGGTGGAGGCTGCAGTAAGCAGAAATTGCACCACAGCACTCCAGCCTGGGTGACAGAGTCAGACCCTAGACTCTGTCAAAAGCAAAAGAAGAGAAGAGAAGAGAAGAGAAGAGAAAAGAAGAGAGAAGAGAGAGAGGAGAGGGGGAAGGGGAGAAGGGGAAGGGGGGAGGGGAGGGGCAGACAAAATAAGCCTCTCGTGGCTTTTTTTGTTTTGTTTTTTTTTGTAGAGACAAGGTCTTTCTATGTTGGCTAGGCTGGTCTTGAAGGGTATTTTTTATTATAGAAATTGATGGCCAGGCACAGTGGCTAACACCTGTAATCCCAGCACTTTGGGAGGTCAAGGCAGGCCGATTGCTTGATCTCAGGAGTTCAAGACCAGCCTGGTAACACGGCAAAACCCCATCTCTACAAAAAAAATCAAAAATTGGCCTGGCATGGTGGTTCATGCCTGTGGCCCCAGCCACTGGGGAGACTAAAAAGGGAGGATCACTTGAGCCCACAAGGTGGAAGTTGCAGTGAGCCGAGATCACACCACTGCACTCCAGACTGGGCAACAGAGTGAGACCTTGTCTCAAAAAATATATACATATATTTTTCATTAAGAAAAAAGTCCTCTTAATCTAGTAGAATAAAACTATTGCATTGTTTATGTTTTAGATTAAATTCCCATTTGTAAGTGAAAAATATTTTACAGGAGAAACACTATGAATATAAGAAATTATTTAGTTTAAAATATCAAATCTGTAATATGATAAATTATCTTAAAAGAATAAACACTAACAAGCTAAAATAAAAGTATATACTGTAGTATGATCTGACAGGCCTAAGTTAATTGGGTTTATTTTTAGGTATATCCTTTTCAAAGTTTGTACTAATATTAGCTGAAAGTTAGAGAACCAAAAGAAGGCAAATGTAAGTAGCATTCTAACTGTGCTTTGCAATATAATATACCTAAAGCAATAAGTCATTATAAATAGATTTTTCAACAGGTTTTGTGTCAAGATGAAATACAGTTGCATATTTTTAAAATACAGAAAGTATTCACCTAAGATTACATATCCTAGTGTTTATATTAGGACTACTGTATTTTAATTATATTATAATATGATAATTAACATTATATATTTAAATGTTCCTTTTCTAATTTTACTTACACTACTAAATGTACTCCAAAATGAATGCTGTCAAACAGAAATAAACTTTAACTCTGCTCTACCAAATTCCCAATTAGTAGTTCAAATTTAGTAAGTGTTTTGATATTAGCCAATTAGCTTCAGTTTATCTAATATCTCATTTTTTAATTAACAATACTAATTATGGGTATTTTGCCTTTGGCCTAAGGAAAAAGCAAATACAGCCATTAAATATAAGGACATACAAAGAATTTTTGTTTTGTTTTTTTTTGAGACGGAGTCTCGCTCTGTCACCCAGGCTGGAGTGCAGTGGCGTGATCTTGGCTCACTGCAACCTCTTCCTCCTGGGTTCAAGCAATTCTCCTCTGCCTCAGCCTCCTGAGTAACTGGGACTACAGGCGTCCTCCACCACACCCGGCTTTTTTTTTGTATTTTTAGTAGAGATGGGATTTCACAATATTGGCCAGGCTGGAGAATTTTTATTTCTACTGAACAGAAATTGGTATTTTCAGAAAGGTTTAAAAGAGTAAAAAATTTTTAAATCTTAAAGTATTCATGAATAGACCAGATTTTTCCTTCAAAATTTACATATTCATCATTTTGTAAAATCTTTATCCCCTATGTAAAGAAAGAATTACATAAAATACCACACAAAAGCATTCAGTACCAGTACCCAGCACACAAAAAGGAACTGAAATGCTTGTTAAAATGAAAGACCAAATATCCATCTGTCATTTCCTGGGTGAAAATAACCTGTCAAACATCCAGCTTCCTTGAAAACAGACAGAAACACAATCTGAGAAAGTCCTGCGTCCAGCATCTCACCTCTGCAGCCATGAAAGCCAAGGTGTGCATTCCGTGGGTGTAGCCGGTGATGCAGCAGACGGCCGCCAGTCCACAGCAAGAAAGCAGCATGGCAACCAACAGGGACAGGACTCGACCGTGGCTGCTCATTGGCGTGGTGGGCGAGAAGGAAAGCTGAAATGCACACAGTGAGAAACTGCTCATTCTTCTTCATGAAAGTGTTAAACTTCACTGAGAAATTCAAGGTCCATCTTGGCTTCTCTACGTAGGGTTCTGTGCTAAGCACAGAAAAGCATCCCACTACTATACGGTCCTATTCTACAATAACCCAAATATGAGCATGAGCTGATATTTAGAGATCCTTGTCATTTAATATACTGAATATAACAATATGCATTATATTTTTATCCCTTACTCTCAAGGATCCTCCTAGCACTGGGATTATAAACCCCTAGAAGCAATGTTCTGAGGGTATACAACTCTCTCCTCTCACCTTCAACAGGACTCAGGACATGCCTGTTCTGTTGTATTTCTTTCTTAATCTTGCTCTAGTCCTCCTCTCTGAAACTGGCATTCCCAGTCTATTAGGGCTAGAACAACTGAAATGCAATTCAGGCGCAGATTTACCACTATTACAATGTGATGTCAGCACTATGCAAGGAGAGGCAACTGTCTGAAAAGAAGGCCTGGAGCTGTAACTCCTGAGGTCGCAGGCAGAGATTAAAAAAACCAGTTTGGGAGGTTAGAAGTTCCTGTTTGTGGCTTCAAATGAGGGTTGAATGTGAAAGAAATAAAGGTTTGAGAGTGAGATTAACTCACACCAAGGTGCAAGGTCCATGTGGACTGGGTAAAGACAGGGAAAAACACGGCCCTGGAGTGGGTTTAACTGAGGGGCAGCATTGTAGGTGCACATTTATCTGGGACTCATGAGACTACTTCAGGTCACTAATGGGTGGGGGTTCACCCATACAGCTATGATCTGAAACCAAGTGACAGATCTTGTACCAGACACAAAAGGATTCACTTCTGCAACCAAGGAAGCTAAGGGAACTAATTCAGTCCTGGCCCGGGGTGGAAAGAGTATAAACTAGTCAGAAAGAAGAGCTCCAGGAACCAGGGTAAGCTGGGGGAGACAGAAGGAGACTGGAACAGAAAATATCTAGAAAAGACCAGATTTTATTGTTTATGTATCAAGGTTTCCTTGCACTGTGAACAAAACAGTCTGCATAGGTGAAGTGACCCCACGTGAGCTGTAATGTAAACACTATGGGATTGGGAAGAAAGCTCACCAGGAGACTACGATTCTGCATCTCTTGGCTGCTGTAGAAAGTTCTTCAAGAAACAGGCAATGGGGGCCTGATCTAGAAGTCTTCCCAGGAGAGCCACCTTGACCATGCCTGCTGTGGCTCATTCACATTACACAATTCAAAGCTGGCAAACGTGTGACTAAGCAAGCAAAAAGCTTGGCTAAAAACTCACATATTCAAATCGATCCTTGCAGAGCTGAACCATCAGGTGCAGAAAGACAAGTCCGGCAAACCAGAGGCACCACATGACCACCTCTTCCACTGTTTGGACATTCAGCACACCAAAGATGAAAATGAACTTGTAGAAAATAAAATTCCAAAATTTGTCTTTGAGATGCTAAAAAAGAAAAATGTTTATGAAGGTGAGTACTATCACACCTACCCCATTTGAGGGAAGTTACCATAACAAAAGCTGGTTTCTATGGAAGATGTATTCCACACTTGGCTTTCTAACACTTGTCCTCAAGAAAACAGAAGAAAAAACAAAAAGCAGCCATCTGAACAGAGGTAAGACACCCAGAAAGTAATCTATAAACTCTGGACTATAACCCTAAATCAATTATGGTATGTTAGCTATTCAAAGGATAGTGATATGAGTTTAGTAACTTATGTATTAAGAAATAGGCCCAACGCAGTGGCTCATATCTGTAATCCCAGCACTTTTGGAGGCCGAGGCAGGTGGACAGCTTGAGCTCAAGAGTTTGAGATCAGCCTGGGCAACATGGTGAAAACCCATCTCTACCAAAAAAAAACAAAAACAAAAATTAGCTGGGAGTGGTGGTGCATACCTGTAGTCCCATCTACTCAGGAGGCTAAGGTGGGAGGATTGCTTGAGCCCAGGAGGTCAAGGCTACAGTGAGCCATCATCAAGCCACTGCACTCCAGCCTGGGCGACAGAGCAAGACCATCTCTCAAAAAAAAGAAAAAAATGCTTACATTTTTAATGCACAATGAAAAAGAATGGTAAGGGCTATCATTTTTACTACTTCTACCTTCCAGATTCTCACACAATAGAAAAGATTAGACTTTTTTAAAAAAATTATTAAATTAAAAAATAACACAATCACTTGCCAGCCCATAATAAATAGGGCATAAAAAGGACAAAGAAAACAAAAAATGATGCCTTAACATTTTTATGAATTTTCCTGTCTTTTCCCTATGTGCAAGACACATTAATTTTTGCACAATGCTTTCTTTCACCTATCGTATTGTGAGAACTTTACCAATGTCAATGAATATTCTCTGAATATACCAATATACCGTTTTAATGGCTAAAGATGGACACTGAAACTGTTTTAAAATTTTCACCATTCAAAGAAACATTATAATGAGGGCCAGGTGTCGTGGCTCACACACAAAATCCCAGCGTTTTGGGAGGCCAGGGCAGGCGGATCACTTGAGCCCAGGAGTTCGAGACCAGCCTGGGTAACAAGGCAAAATCCTGTCTCTACTAAAAATACAAAAATTAGCTGAGCAGTGGCACATGCCTGTAATCCCAGCTACTCAGGAGGCTGAGGCACGAGAATTGCTTGAACCTGGGAGGTGGAGTTTGCAGGGAGCCATGATCATGCCACTGCACTCCAGCCTGGGCAACAGAGCGAGACTCTGTCTCAAAAAAAAAAAAACAAAGAAAAAATTGTGCTGAATATTTTTGTATGTGTCTTTGTATGAGTTACTTCAGCATTGTCAAATCAAAAATTGCAAATGTTTTTATGGTTTACAGTAAAATCTACCTAACTTCCAAATCAGTCCTGTAAGTATATATTCTCATGGGCAGTGTGTATGCATATTTGCTTTACTGTACTCTTTTACACAGAGGGCTTCCAGTTTTAACAATCTTCACTAACCCTGAAATAGGAGAGCAATAAGGAGGGTCTAGTTCACCCCACATGTTAAAATAGACTATCAAGCCGTCTAGGGGGCTCAGGGAGAACTGAGTGAAGAGGATAATTATGGAAGCATGATTCTAAGTATATACATATATATATATATATATTTTTTTTTTTTTTAAAGAGACAGGGTCTCACTCTGTCATCCTGGCTGGAGTACAGTGGCCCAGTCATAGCTCACTGCAGCCCCAATCTCCTGGGCTCAAGTGATCCTCCCACCTCAGCCTCCTGAGTAGCTGGGATTACAGGCACATGACATCATGGCTAATGTTTTTTATATATATATTTTACAGAGAGGGGGCCTCCCTCTGTTGCCAAGGCTGGTCTCAAACTCCTGGGCTCAAGTGATCCCACCTTTGTCTCCCAAAAGAATGCTTTTATATGTAATTTGGAACCATGTAATTGTTTCACAAATTCAAAAAATAAACAGAAAAAAGCAAAATGTACTACAAATTAATAACGTGACTCCTTAAAGATTTTGAGAACCTAAACGCACTGTACTCTGACCAGACATCTTTCGTAGAGAACAAAATAAAGTGGAAAAAACTCATAGACCATGCCCTAACTCGATCCACCAAAAGGGCAGAGACACCCCAGTAACAATGAGCACACTCAGTCAGTATACAACTTGGCTTCTAAATATCATTGCCCAATAACATGAACTAGGAATCACTGGTGAATGTCTGTTTCCAGACCTGATGCAGGGAAAGTATAAGGTGAACTTAGGACATTTTGTGCCCTGGTTTTGAATGATACTGCCACTTGGCTCTGCCATTTAGTTTCTGTGTGACCTTGGGAAAGTCACTTAACATCCCTGTGCTTTAGTTTCCTCATCTATACAATAGGTCTTACAATAACAGCATATACCTCATAGAATTTTTGGGGGAATTATACATAATACATGTGAAATGGTTAGACAAGTGCCATACTAGGCACTAAGCACTTAAAAAAAAAAAAATCAAAAAGCTTCCTTGCTCTAAACCTCCACTTAACATTTTAATCATTTTAGATATTCGATGTCTTTGCCTCTAGCATTACTCTATTTCTAGAACTTTAAGCACCCACAGAGCAAACCCATGTCAATCCTAGAGATTTCTAACTCAAAATGGTTCCTAATTGATGCTGCTGGATGACATTAAACATCAAATAAACCAACATAGAACAGCAGGGAAGATGCGATCGATGCTGAAAAAACCAAAAGTGGAGCTGGATAAGAAATATGCTCATTAGGCCGGGCGCGGTGGCTCAAGCCTGTAATCCCAGCACTTTGGGAGGCCGAGACGGGCGGATCACGAGGTCAGGAGATCGAGGCCATCCTGGCTAACACGGTGAAACCCCGTCTCTACTAAAAAATACAAAAAACTAGCTGGGCGAGGTGACAGGCGCCTGTAATTCCAGCTACTCGGGAGGCTGAGGCGGGAGAATGGCGTAAACCCGGGAGGCGGAGCTTGCAGTGAGCCGAGATCGCACCACTGCACTCTAGCCCGGGCGACAGAGCGAGACTCGGTCTCAAAAAAAAAAAAGAAATATGTTCATTATAATTACCTCTGGATCTAGTAAAAAAAAATCTCTAAAATACTCCAAGGTTATACTTTCTATAAATTTCAACCTGATATAACTAACCTTTTAGGGAAAAGAAAGTATATAAAGCCCACTGGTGCCAGATCAATCCACCAAGCCTGCCTGGCCTGACTAATTTCTGGTCTACAAATAAAAAATTTGAAGAAAAACTTGAAGAAGTATCAAAAGCAGCATTTAAGCCAGTAGAAGTGGCTCACACCTGTAATTCCAGCACTTTGGGAGGCTGAGGCGGGCGGATCATTTGAACTCAACAGTTCGAGACCAACCTGGGCAGCATGATGAAATTCTGTCTCTACAAATACCAAAACAATTAGCCGGGTGTGGCACACGCCTGTAGTCTCACTCAGGTACTCAGGAGGCTGAGATGGGAGGAGACTGCTTGAGCCCAGGAGGTTGAGACCGCAGTGAGCAGAGATCGCACCACTGCACTCCAGCCTGGGTAACAGAGCAAGACCCTGTCTCCAAAAAGAAAAAAAAAAAAAAAAGGCAGCATTTAGAACCTATCTGGGAGACCTCTAGAGTTGATACTGGAGAAAGTACTGAATACTAACTAATGAAAAATCTCTGGGAATACAAAACAGTCCTGTTCACAACGGCATTCAAGGGCTCAACCACCAAGTAATACACGTCAGCTCTAAACCAGGACTTCAGTTGATTTTATAAAAGGAAATTTGGGTTGAAAAGGGTAGGTAAGGAAAGAATGGAACATTCTGAATACAAAGTAAAGCTGCTGTTGTGCTTTTCATGTAGTAGGTTCCTGTGTCTTATCACTGGGATAAGATAGAATAAAACACAGTTTTGTTCTTATGTTGTGATTTTGAAGGCCAGTTCTAAATTCTTACTTTAAAACATATCATGCCAGGCACGGTGGCTCACGCCTGTAATCCCAGCACTTTGGGAGGCCAAGGCAGGCGGATCACCTGAGGTCAGGAGTTTGAGACCAGCCTGGCCAACATGGCAAAACCCTGTCTCTACTAAAAATACATGGATTAGCTGTGGTGCACACCTGTATTCCCAGCTACTTGGGAGGCTGAAGCAGGAGAAGTGCTTGAACCCGGGAGGCAGAGGTTGCAGTGAGCTGAGATTGAGCCACTGCATTCCAGCCTGGGTGACAGAGCAAGACTCTAACTCAAAAAAAAAAAAAAAAATTATTCTACACCCTACCCACTCAAATCCTCAGGGAACTGCCAATCTATACGGTATGCTTGTGGCATAATTCTTCATTGAAAGCGTTCCCTGCCTGTTCTGAGTCACTTTCCAGTTTCAGACAATCTCACCCAAAACAAGAACAAATCTCCTAATTTTATGCTTTTAGAATTCTTAATTCACCTTCCCACAGAGAAAATTGTCCCGGTAAATTCTTTTGGAAAAGAACCCACATTCTACAGAGTGACATTTATGATCATTCAAAATCAAACAAATCTAGGCTTCTCTAAAAACGACATTCCTAAAAATCATGAAGAAAAACAGCCATAAAAAACAATATTGGGACAACTTGGCTGCACTGAATATGAACTGTGGATTAGACAAAGTATTTTTTCAATGTTAAATTTCCTAATTTTAATCACTGTGCTGTAAAAATGCCTTTGCTCTTAGAAAATGCAAACTGAAGTATTGAGGGGTAAAGGGGTAATGATGTCCACAACTTACTCTCAAATGAATCAGAACAAAAGTATGTATAAATAAAAAGTGACTATTAAAGCAAATGGAACAAAATATTAACAACAGGCGAATCTGGATAAAGGGTATATAGGAGTTTTCTGTAGTATTCATGGAACTTTTCCACACATCTGAAATCATAAGAAATACAAAGTTTAAAAAAAAATCTAGTCACAAGAATCCATCCTTTCAGTGTAGCCTTACCTGTCTCTCACTCACTCGAAGAGGGCCAAACACGATACACTGGATGAGCTTAGCCACCAACATCAAAACACAGCAAGCAGTATTTACTAGAACCTGTAAACAAATCGGAGAAAGGAAGTTTATTTCTTCCTGCTGAAAAATAAAAGCAGCTCTAAAAATCTCATATTAGGAATTCACCCATCATTTCCAGTGACTGAGCCTTTCTGGTTCTCTCCCAATGCAAGATAAGTAATATCTGAAAAGGCACACTGTTCTGGGCAGTGGGTGTTAGGGATAAGGATTGGGAAGAGAGGCACCAGCTCACCAACTAAGTCACAGCTCTTCTTCCAATATGCACCCTCCAGCAGGCCACCTTATCTTTCATCCTTAACTGAATTGTATGTATACTTTGTACTCTTTGTGCAAAACTACATGAACCTTGTAAACTGCAGGTCCTTCCCAAGTACCTCATTTCCAACATTATTTTGATAGCCTTAAAGAAAACTGTTCTAGAAATTGAAGTTACCATGAATAGTAAAATCCAGCAGCCAGAGATTCTGCCCTGCCAAACAAATAGGAGGCAGGGGTAGGAGTGTGGATGGTCACAAAAAAGTCTCATCATGAGAAACTCATAACCAAAAAATATAACAGAGAGAATATTTTAACATTCATTGGAATGGAAAAATCTTTCAACCAAAAGATAAATGTGCTCCATGCTTGGTGTTGGCTTTGAATTAAAGCTTCTGTGGCACTGCAGTGGGGTGGAATGGGGAAAACAGAAGGAAAAGAAAACTGGCGAGAGGGGCTAAGAGATGAAAGGCAACCTGAGGATACCAATGCAAAACTAAGGCCTTCTTCAACAGTCTATGAGAAAACTTAAAAAACAAAACAAAACAAAATAAAACCCTAAATGATGAATATCCTTACACCTAAACACCAAATCTTAATGCTTACAAAATGGAAGAGTTGGCTGTCTCCAACCTAGAGATTACTGTGGGGTATCACATTACTCTGAATGACTCCAAAAAGCCAAAAGGACCTTGATAAAAACAGTACAGATGACTTGTTGAGAGCAAATGAAAAGGAACTCCAATTCAATGTAAAGCTGCTTCTGCCTCTGATTCACTGCATTTACCATATTACCCTTGCCAAGTCATTCTTCCCTCTACTTTTAAAAGCAAATGATAATTTTAAAGAAGAAAGAAAGGGGACAGAAGAGAGTAATTTAAGAAAGCAAGATCCCGAGGCCGGGCGCGGTGGCTCAAGCCTGTAATCCCAGCACTTTGGGAGGCCGAGACGGGAGGATCATGAGGTCAGGAGATCGAGACCATCCTGGCTAACACGGTGAAACCCCGTCCTACTAAAAAATACAAAAAAAAAAACTAGCCAGGTGAGGTGGCGGGCACCTGTAGTCCCAGCTACTCGGGAGGCTGAGGCAGGAGAATGGCGTAAACCCGGGAGGCGGAGCTTGCAGTGAGCCGAGATTCGGTCACTGCACTCCAGCCTGGGTGACAGAGCAAGACTCCACCTCAAAAAAAAAAAAAAAGAAAGCAAGATCCCTGAGATCACCTCAGGGTCTGTTTAGTACCTCACACCATCCCTCCTTTGGGAGAACAGTTAAGGGCAGCCCTGATTCATTACAAATGATTAAATTTAGTTCTATTCTGTCTGCCTAATGGGCCAAAGTATGTAATATATTTTTAATGGATTGAAACAAAAATAGTTCTGCTGAAAAAATAAACTGTTTTAGTACTTAAATCCTTCAAACAACCAGGAACAAAAGCTGAAACTAGTTGCCCCAAATATCCTAATTTTTGTAACAGGCCTATTCAAAATGGTCCAGATCACCAGGAGCGTGGTGGCTCACACTTGTAATCCGGGCACTTTGGGAGACCAAGGTGGGAGGACTGCTTGAGGTCAGAAGTTTGAGACCAGCCTGGAACACACAGCAAAACCTTGCCCCTACTGAAAAATACATAAAATTTTTAAAAAAGAAAAAACAATTCAGGTAACTTGAAATGTTCATTTTTAAGGTGATGAAATAGATGCTAAAGAGACTCACCTTCATTGTGATCTAACCAGTCAATCTCAGCCACATTAACTAAGAGAAATGTTGTAAGACAAAACCACAACCCCTCATGTCACATGCCCCAGACAAACATGCCCCAGCTTTATTACGACGCAATTTCTTAAAAGAATTCTTCCTGTTTTTACATGTAGTCATACGAATTTAAAAAATAAATGCAACACATTTAGCACTTGTTCGAGGCATGTGGGAAATCAGAAAAATGATGGAACTCTGAACCCTAAACTCAAAGAACTTTTAGAATCTACAAGAGATAGAACATGGTAAGCAGTTTAACAGAAGGCCAAGCAGGCTACCATGAGAGTAATGATGGAGAAAAAAAACAAATTTAGGGGCACTTAAACATTTCTCTATTGAAAACAGCACTGTCACACACATCTCAAGTTATCAAACAAAAAAAGTATTATTTACTATTTCTCAAACTCTTTAAATAAAAGTCTATTTTTTTTTCTGACAGTCTCACTCTGTTGCCCAAACTAAAGCACAATGGC